AACATTTATTAAACCTTTCCTGACTCCTCAGTTATTCTACTCTCTCTAAATTGTTTTTCTTTGTACTAGTTATCTCTCTCTCTGTGTGCCTCCTCTCCCCCTTGTCTCCCATCCTTTGCCTCAAATATCAGCTACTTAGGGAAGAAAACATTCTGGTTTTGTCTTGTGTTCCCAGCATCCAGATAGTGGCCAACAAATAGTAAACACTTAATAGACGCTTGTTGCATTGCCTTGCCTGGCATAATTATTCCTTTAAAGAATGACTTGAGCACTAAGAGAATTAGAAAATGCCCAAAAAAAACAGTTACTGAAGGAAATCCAGAGGCTGACACAGTTTTCAGTGGTGACCATGTTTTTTTTAATAAAGGGATTATGATCATTGGTCAAATCTGCAGTTCTTTGCTTGAAAAGTAACTTTTGTGTTATTTTCCCAAATAAGCATTTTAAAAATCCTCCTCCCTGTCCTCCTGGGGCTTGGAAATGTCCTCCTTTACGGGCAGCTAGGTGGTGCAGTGGATAGAGTACCAGCCCTGGAGCCAGGAGGGTCTGAGTTCAAATCCGGTCTCAGACCACATACTTGACACTTACTAGCTGTATGACCTTGGTCAAGTCACAACCTCCCACTGCCCTATGCAACTAAGACTCTTAACTTACTGAGAAGGTGCTGAATTATACTGATTGATAGGGGGAATTTCCTCTTCTGAGAGTTCCTGATACGCACGAAACCCCAAACAAAAAGAACAGGACAATAGTGCCTATGGCATAAGAACTCTCTGAATGGGAGTTTTAGTACCTTAATTCTTTCATACTAAGAGTGACATTTAATAAACATTAGAGTCAATTTTTTTAAAAAAATAGTTAAAATATTTCTTGAACAGTAGTAATAGCCCCTAGCTGGTCTCCCTACCTCCATTCTTTTCCCAAATTCAATCCACCTTTCACCCTTTTGCCAAAGTGATTTTTTTCACCGTGAAGTCAGAGGACCCAGGATCCAGGATCTGCTTCAAATCCTAACTCTGACACTTAATACCTGAATGACCCTAGGAAAGTCACTTTACCTCCATGAGCCTCAGTTTCTTCATCTGTAAAATAAGGGTGTTTGACTAGAATGGCCTTTAAGGTCCCTTTTAGCTCTAAATCTATGATGCTATGATTATCATGTCCTAATGTAATCCCATTTCTGCACTTCTCAGGAATCTTTAGTAGCTCCCCATTGTCTGACAAATAAAAATATACACTCGTTATCCTGCTGGTAAAGGTAGTTTGGGGGCAATCTAACCCAGTTTACATTTCTAGCCTCTTCCTCTACATACACCCTGCTGTGCTCCAGTCAACTATTCTTTGCAGTCTTCGTCATCCTTAGTCTAGGCCTATTGATAGTGCCTTCCCTTCTGAGGTTACTTATATCTACTTTGTATGTACTGATATAGGCTTTTTGCATATATCTGTATATATCTATGTTTATCTCTGTATATCTCTGTGTGTATGTAAACATACATAATACACTATATAATACACACATGTATATATACTTGCATATGTATGTGTGTGAGTGTGTGTGTATATACATACATATATGTATGTAAGTATGTATGTATGTATGTATATATATATGTATACATTAACCTCCTTAGCTAGAAGGTCCTTGAAGACAGGGACTCTTTATTTCACTTTTGTCTTTGTTTCTCTAACGCCTGACACCTCACATATGCTTAATAAATCTTTGCCTGCTTGATTGTTGTATACCTTCCCCCAGTTCTATCCCTTTGTTCATACCGTCCTCCATGCCTAGAATAGACTTTACTTCCCTTATGCCATTTCATCTATTGATGCCTTTCTCTTTCCTCAAGGTCAAGCTCAGACGTGACCTCCTCCCTGACCCTTTCCTTGCTTCTCCCAGATATAAGTAATTCCTCTCAATCCCCAAAGTGTCTTCTATGCATTGATCTGTCTTCTAACTTGGGGATTCAATTATGTAAAAGGCAATGAGCTATGACAGAAAAGACAGTATGTGTGTAGTCAGGAGGTTTGGGTCTAGTACTAACTCTCCCACTAACTAGTTGTGTGACCTTGCATAAGGTTTTTTTTTTTTTTTTTTTATATACCTCTGGGTCTTACTTTCCTCATCTTCAAAAGAAGAATAGCATTGCCTTTCCTAAATACTTCACAAGCTTAATGTGGTGATCAAATGAAATGAGATCTTAAAAAGAGTCTAAATGTTACATAAGAGTCAGGTAGTGGCTACAAGGTTGGCTTTGGAAGGAATTCAGAAAGAAGGGAGGTGGGGCTGGGTCAAGTGCTGCCTCTAGCACATTTGACTATTTGACAATGTGCAGGTTACTTAACCTCTCAGTGCTCTTGACAACTCTATAAGAATATAAGTTCTGGATAGTTGGCAATCTGCATTGGTAGAGGAAGTGGATGATTCAATTAAAAAACATTTTAAAGCACCTACTATATTAAAAAGTCTTACATAAGTATGTATGGTTAGGTGGGTCATAGGATTTTGATATAATGTAGCTAATAATGAAAGTTTGAGGTATTAACCTTTAAAAAAAAACCAAATGAACTGTTCCTGAACACCAGCAATGTTCTAGATGGGATCCAATGCTCTTGGGTAATTTCCATTTAATGGAATGTAAGTTTTTAAATGCATTACCTTTTTATTTCTGTCTTTCATTTCTACATCACTTTCCTTTCTGAGTATATCCACCAGGACTACCCACCCCTGCCCTTCCCTACCCAGCCAGGCATCCCTTGTAATAAATGGTTGTTGTTGGTTTGTTTTGAGAGAGAGAGAGAGAGAGAGAGAGAGAGAGAGAGAGAGAGAGAGAATTGTTCAGCAAATCTGACCAACATGTCATTTGGAGTCAGGAAGAACTAGGTTGAAGTTTCTCCCCAGACACCTACTAACTCTGTGACCCTGGACAACCACTTAGTAGTCCCATCTGTAAAATGAACATAATAGTAATAGTACCTCTCTGACCTTAGTTTTTTCATCTGTAAAGTAGTACCTATTTCACAGGGCTATTGTAAGAATCAGATGAAATAACATATGCAAAGGGCTATATAAATGCTAGTTGCTATTATTTTTTAAAAGAAAGAAAAGAGAAAGCAGTTCAGCAAAACCAACCAACACGTCATTTGGAGTCAGTAGTTCAAATTCTGTCTCAGACACTTACTGTGTGACTCTAGGCAAGCCATTTAACCTCTCTCGACCTCAGTTTCCTCATCCATTAAATGAGAGGATTGAATTCAGTGACTCCTCAGGTCTCTTCCAGATCAAAGTCTATGATGGATCATTTCTGATGGCATGTGCTATATTAACTACCCGTGGTCTCCTACTTATGAAAAATAAAGAAGAGGGAGATGTATTTTCTTGGCTCTTTTCTGGGGACACCCTTGGTCATTATATTTACCCAGTGTTCAATTTTTTGTGTGTTCTTTCTATTTATATTGTTATTTGTTGTTGTTCAGTCATTTTTTCACATATGTCTGACTCTTTGTGACCCCTTTGGGGGTTTTCTTGGCAAAGATACTGGAGTGGTTTGCCATTTCCTTCTTCAGCTCATTTTATAGATGAGAAACTGAGGCAAACAGAGTTAAGTGACTTGTTTAGGCTGGTAAATATCTGAGGCCAGATTATTCTTCCAGACTCCAGGCCCAGTACTCTATCCACTGTACCTCCTAGCTGCTGGCATTTATATTGCTATAGTTATAGTGAATGTTGTTTTCTTGATTCTGCATTCTTTATTTTGTATCCTCTGTCCACATAAGGCCTCCCAGGCTTCTCTAGATTGCTTCATATCTATAACTTCTCCTGGCACAGTAATATTCATATTCATATTCATGTATCACACTTTTTTTAGCCATTATAAAATTGATAGGCTCCTATTTTATTGCCAGTTCTTATTCGGTATGGCTTTACAGATACACAACCTTAACCTAGTAGTCTTCTAGTATACACAAACAAGGACCTCAAACAACCAGAACTGGTGTAAAGAGGGGTTCCTGAAAAATTCCCTCCATTCTTATGATGTACTATAAAATAACCCCATTGCTATAATGTACTCAGCGTCTATATGATAATTGGAAGGCATCCTTGTTGCATGCTGGGATTTCATGAATTCCCTTTTGCTTTAATCTCTTAAGCTTTTTTTATGTAGAATATAATTTCAAGCCAGTATTTGGATTCTGTCCAGGTATCTTTTGCTCTTTCTTTTTAAGCCTGGAACTTTGGAAAAGTTGAGGGTGAGGGTTAGGGACAAAGGTGATTTGTCAGGGCAGCTTGGTGGCATAATGGTTAGAGCACTGGCTCTGGAGTTAGGAGGGCCTGAGTATAAATGCAGCCTCAGACACTTGATACTTACTAGCTCTGTGACCTTGGGCAAATCACTTAACCCCAACTGCCTCACCAAAACACAAAAACACTAAGGGCTAACATTTTTTTCCCTGATTTTCTTCTTGGGAAGGAATAACCTTCCAAAATAAATTGTTCTTTAAAAATACAACTTTTTTAGACAAAATTATAAAAATAGAAATTTAAACCCAAAGGAAAATTTTCCCCCTGCCTTAATAAATGGAAACAGTTGCCTATTTGATTTTATACTCTTAGGAAGCCTAATTACTTAGTGGTGAAATATTAATGTCATATTCAATTCCTGTAGTCACTTCTCAGAATGTGATAAAGCTATGGTTTAATAGAGTTTCTAAGTTTTCTTCTAACATTCTTCTTCGGGTATTTCATGTTCCACTCAGAAAAAGACTAATGAGCTAGAGATTTCTTTTTAAAAATAATGGAAGACTATTCATTCCTTTTTTCTTCCTTTCTTTCTTTTTTTTGATACATTTTATCTTGACCCATCAGTTGCTTTTCAATAAACAAACCAAGCCATTCCCCTCATAGTTAATTGTTCCCTAATAATTCCCCTAATAGTTAAGTAGATCCTTCTAACAGTGATTATGATGATAGTACATGTTATTCCCCATTTTTAATACAGGACTATTTCTGCAAAAACTCATCATCAAGCTGTTAATTTCAATATATTTGAGGGAATGGTCTGTCATGGGGTACCCATCGTGACTATTTCAAGAGGCAAAGTGGTATATGAAGCTGGAGTTTTTAATGTCAATGCAGGAGATGGAAAATTTATTCCTCGGAAACCATTTGCCGAATATGTTTACAAACGAATCAAACAGAGAGATCGGGTAAGTGTAGAAGAATCTATACAGAATAGACTTTCACTATAAAACCCACCAACTTTTGAGTTTCTCTCTCTCAATTTTATCCCTTTGAATTTCAAGTATCAGTAAGTCAGTCAACAAGCATTTGCTTACTATGTGTCAAGTATTGTACTAAGACCTGAGAATATAAATATAAGCAGAAAGACAGTCTTTGCCCTCAAAGAGCCTGCATTCCAATGGCGGAAGAAAACTCATAAAAGGAAGCTGAAAAAGTTTCAGGAAAGGGAAGGAGAAGGAGTGTACTCAGATGCATGGTAGAGAAAGTCCAGAATACAGCCTGGAAAGAAATGAAGACACAGCTGGCCTGGGCTTCTCTCCATGAATGGACATTCTGGGAGAAACTACCCAATCAAAGGAAGAGATCACAGGAGTGGAAAGTATTTTCAGTGGGTGAATTCTAGGCTTGGGGCACATGTAGGGCATAGTAGGGAAACTTCTATATGCATTCTAGAAAGTATATCTATTGGACCTAGAATGAGAACAAATGTTGTTCTTAGGTGTATGCTTATAATTGTATTTAAACCTAAATATTCATAAAGAAGAGTCATTGTTAGATAGATGGCCTTTTTCTTGTTAATGTGATATATTTTTAATTTAATTTTTTTTCAATTAACAAAAGTCTAGTTTCTCTCTCCCAGCTCTTCCTATATGTGTTATTAAAAAAAAAAGAGAAGGAAAAAAATCCTTCTATCAAACATATATAGAAAAATAAAATAAATTACCATAATGGTATGTTCCAAAATATGTGTCATTCTGCACCCTGAATCCATCACCTCTTTGTCAGGAGGCAGAAAGTATACTTAATTCGTCCTCTAAAATATTGGTTGGTCATTGCATATCTTTCAAAGTTTTTTTTTTCAATGTTGTTATTATTATATAAATTGTCTGGGTTCTGCTCACTTCACTCTGTGTCAGTTCACACAAGTCTTCCCAGGATTCAATGCACCCATCTCTTTCATCATTTCTTATGGCAGAATATTATTATACATGTATAATAATTATACATATATACAAGATAATTTATTCAGATATTTCCCAAACCATGGGCATCCCTTTAGTTTCCAGATCTTTACCATTATGAAAAGAGCTGCTATAAAAATTTGTGTACATATGGATCCTTTTCTTCTTTCTATAATTTCTCTGAGGGATAGGCCTAATAGTGCTATCACTGGGTCAAAAGATACACAACTTAGTGACTTTATGAATGGAGTTCTAAATTGCTCTTCAGAATGGCTACATCAGTTCACAACTCTACCAACAGTACTAATACATAACTTCTTTCCCCCCGTTTGCCATCCCTCTAACATGTAATTTTCCTATTTTTTCTACTCTGATAATGTGAGGTGAAACCTCATTTACTTTTTTTTTGCATTTCTCTAATCATTTGGAGCAATTTTCATATAGTGATTGATTGCTTTTATTTCTTCCTTAGTAAACTGCCTATTCATATCCTTTACTGTTTATCAATTGAGGAATGGTTCTTATTCTAACAAATTGAATAATAAACTAATGCACTTTCAAAAATTGCTTTCTATGTCCAGCTAGATAGGAAAATGTTTCCAAAGAAGGTATATCTGTCATGGGTAATCTCAAGAAATGAGCCTTTTTTTCTGGATGAAACTATAACAAAAACCAAAAGTCATGTGCCTATATTATAGTGGTATGAAAAAACAAAAAAGTCATATATAGATTATGATCTAATGAGTTTACTAATTGTATAGTAATTTTGTTTAAATTTTTAAAAAATCTAAAGTCATTATTGGCATGGGATCCAAAAGAGGACAAGCAAAATTTATATTTTTATGCATCATAAATATTTCAAGAGCTTCCTGTCAACAGAAAAAAAAAACTTTCTTACCTTACTGGTAAGGTCAATATATTATTTTCAAAATCAAGATTTATAAGTGTTATAGAGTGGAGGTGATTATTTCCTTTGCCACCTAATACTAAGGTCTACCTGCCTTGCCTCATGATGCTATGGAAGTGGTCCTGGCCTCTCAGGGCCGATGGCCTGTATTGGAGGAGCAGCCAAGTTTGGAAAGCCTCACCACCAGAAGGTTAGCCACCAGATGAGGGAGTTTTTGTTCGCAATAGCTCATGAAACCACCATCTAAAGGAGCTGCATCAGTAGAGACTGTCCCATTCCACATCAGTGGAATCACAAGTGTTTTGAAGTGTTTGAGGCAGCTAGGTGGTACAATGGATAGCAAGCTGAACTTGGAGTCAGGAAGAACTGAACTCAATTCTGAGTAAACCTCAGAGCTTACTAGCTGTGTGACCTCAGGCAAATTATTTAACTCTTTGTACCCCAGTTTCCTTATCTGTAAAATGAGTATAATAATAGCACCTACCTCCCAACTTGTGATAAAAAAAAGATAATATTTGTAAAGTGCTTACAAACCTTAAAGCCCTGTGTAAGTGACAGCATTATTATAGAAAGTTCAGTGGCTCATTGGATAGAGTGCTGGGCCTGGAGTCAGGAGGGCCTGGAGTCAGGATACCTGAGTCAAATCCAGTTTCAGACACTTAATTAGCTGCATGACCTTGATGTATCACTTGTCTTCTTCAATTTTTCATCTGTAAAATGGGAATAACAATAGCACCTACTTCCCAAGGTTGTTGTAAAGATGAAAAGAAATCATATTTGTGAAAGTGATTAGCAAACCTTGAAATTCTATATAAATATTAGACATTGTTTTTTTAAGAGTGATTTCTGGTACATTTCAAAGGATTTGCTTAATAAAAATTCAGGGCTTCCAAAAAGAATCTGTTATGTAAACAAGGCCCACTAACATAGACTACTCAATCATTCATTAGTCCAATCATTCATTCAAAGCTTCAAAGATCTAAAATTTTGTTGGCACAGGAATTCTCTCTCCCTACACGAGTCACAACCCTTCTAAATTAGTGACTGGTATTCATGAGTTGCTGTCCAAAAATTTCATATTGATGGTGACACTCTGAACTTGACTGGGCTGGTCCTCAGATAGCAGAAATAGAGGGTCATTACTAGATCCATAGTCAGAACTTGGTAGAACTTACTAGAGCTTATGTTCTACTTGAAGAGCCTCAGAGAACTGGCGGGTCACCTCACAACATGGAAGTGACATTCTACATGGCATGGGAAGGCTTTAGTGGAGGCACATTGACATGTGCTCAAAATGATTGTTAGTACACTGATGACTTCATTGTTTCTCTTCACTGGATGACATTTCTTGCCTAATGTATTATTCTTCTGGATAGTGGATTTTATCTTAAGTGAATGATTCCTTGATATAGAGGCAACCATCAAGAATTTATGCTATTTTCTATGTTCCCATCTGTAATTTAGATGTTCTCCTTATTGATTTGAGAAGAAATCTTGAAGCTTTTATTATTAGCAAATGAAAGCATCAGAGAATTAATTGGTCATATTTATCAATAAATGTCCAATTGACTGATCATATTTATTTAATATGTATTAGGTAGGGGGTGGGGAGAGCAAGCTGGAGTTCAAATATGGTATATTTACTTCACCCAGTCGAAGTAATTGCTGGACCAAATGATTCAAATATACTATGCTATACTGAAGCATACTATATTTGCTATCATTGAGGAAAAAATTCAAAATCATTTATTTGTCTGGCAATTTTCATGGCCTTTCTCACTTATGAGGATAATCCAATCTAAAATCCACAGTCTTTTGAAATCATAAGCCTGAGAAATTAAGGATTCCTTAAATGTGGCTCCAGCAACTATGTCTTGTACATTAAAGTGCTTTTTATCTTTATGATGCAAATGTGTCAAAATATAGGCCTGCTGTGAATTTTTATTTTTCATTAACTTATCACATTTTATTTATTAGTACATAGTTACATTTTCATTTAGAATGTGATCTATACTTCCTTCATCATTTATTAAATGCCTACTATTATTATTATGGATAAAAAGATAGATATGACACGAACCTACTCTCAAGGAGATTAAAATCTATTATAAGTACACAAATACCCATGATATAAAGGGAAATGAAAGGAAAAAATACAAGAGGACCAGAGGACTTTGAGAAATTTCAAGGAGCAGAGAGTTAGACCATTTTCACCTGAAGAAGTCAGCAAAGACCTCACTAAGAAGATGACATTGAAATTAGGCCTTGGAGAAAAGGATAAACTTCAACAGATGAGACTGGAAGTAGAATTGATTCAAGGCATGGAAGATGATATAGATAAGATATGAAGAATGGAGAAGGCAAGACCAAAAAGAGAGTTGGATACTATGCAGATTGGCAAAGAGGTATTGGTTATGATACAAAGTGCAGAAAGGGCAGTGTAATGAGAAAAGACTGGAAAGGTAGATTGGAGCCCTCCTGTGGAGGGCCTTGAATGCCAAGATTAGGTAATGGGGAACCAATGAAGGTTTTTGATTAAAAAAAAAACAGGATCAAAATGGTGCATTAGGAAGTTTACTCGAATATTAAGGGTAGAGTGGAGAGAGATGAACTCAAGAAGAGGAAGTAAGTTATTTCAATAGTCAAAGCAGGAAAAAATGAGAGCATGAATTAGAGTGGGTAAAGTTAGAATGGACAGAAGAGGACAGATGTGAGGGATACTTCTCAGAAAGAATTAATAGGATCTGACGATTGATTGAATGTATAGATTGAGAGAAAAGATGACTGGGAGGATGGTGCTACCATCAACAGGAAATGAAGAAATCAAGGGTTAAGGGAAGTATGAGGAGGAGGTTGATGAGTTCACTTTGGGTTGTGCTGAGTTTGAAGTAATAGTGGGACTTCCAAGTGAAAATTTCATCCAGCAGACAGTTGGCAATAGGAGGCTGTGGTAGAAGGAGAGGTTCTAAGTAGAGATACAGATTTGGGAAAGATGTGCAAAGACTTGACCAGTCTTGGGTGTACAGATGATAAGCCAATGAGTTTGTCTTCTATTCCCAGCAAAATTCGTTGTTGTGGTTCAGTCATGCCCCTATTTGGGATTAGCTTGGTAAAGATACTGGAATGGTTTGCCATTTCCTTCTCCAACTCATTTTACAGATGAGGAAAATGAAACAAATGAGGTTAAGTGACTTGCCCAGGGTCACACAGTTAGTAAGTATCAGAGGCCAGATTTGAACGTAGGTCTTCCTGACTCCAGGTCCAGCTAGCACTGTATCCACTGTGCCACCTAGTTGTACAGCACTCTAAAAAGCTTGTTTGATGGTAGTATCCAAAGCAATGTGTGGTAGAGTAAAAATAACACTGGAATTAGAATCAGAGGGTTCAAATACCAGTTCTGTGACTTTCTACATGTGTGACCTTGGACAGGCACTTTTATTCTGTAGGGGGCCTCAGTTTCTTCTTTTGTCAAATGAGGGGGTTTAACTAGATCTCTAAAATCACTTATGGTAGAGATACATCTTTGGATAGATTGATCATGTTGTTTATATTAGTAACAGCATAATATATATTTGCTACAAATGTTTTGCTTTTCTCTCTTTTTCAATGAGGGAGTAGAAGGGAAAGAAATAAGACCTTTATTAATTGAAAAAATAAAATTTAAAAAATCAATAAAAATATAGAAGAGAATGCTGGAAACATATCAACTATACTCATACCCACCCTAGAATTGGGAATTTTTCTTAGATAAACCTTTCTAAATATAATTCCATTTTGAAATCTTAGAGGCAGCATGGTAGAGTGTTGAGTTCAGAGTCAAGAAGACCTAGGTTTAAACCTGTTTCTGTCACTTATTAGTTATATGATCTTGGGCAAGGCACTTAACCTTTATATATCCTAGACAACTCCCCAGGACCAAATCTTAGATCACTCAAATATTTTAAACCCATCATGGAGAGATAGTACACAATGTTAGTATGAGGCATTAATTTTTCTCTTTAGAAAACTCTATAATTTAATTTTTTTTTTTGGTGGGGCAGTCAGGTTTAAGTGACTTGCTCAGGGTCACACAGCTAGTAAGTGTCTGAGGCCAGATATGAACTCAGGTCCTCCTGAATCCAGGGCCAGTGCTCTACTCACTGTGCCACCTAGCTGCCCTTATAATTTAATTTTTTAAAAATGTATGATAACTGGGCTGGTGGCACATGCCTATAATCCCTGCTATTAGGAAGGTGAAGCTGGTAGATTGCTTGAGTTTGGGAGTTTTGAGCTGTAGTGGGCTAAGCCAATCAGGAATACACAATTAATATCATTGTTTATGGAGGAGTGAATCAGCCCAGGTTGGTCAGAAACTGAGATCAAAGCTCCTGTGCTGATAAACAGTGGAACTGAGATTGGAATAAGGCTCTGTTGTTTCTCACCCTGGGTCTTATCGGAACTTTTTCCATGAACATTTTATATGTGGCCAGTATGAAGTTTTAGATGTGGGAGTAGGAGATGCATGTCTGCACACCTGTGAAATTCCCATCATTTGTTTAGAACAGAATTACAAGTTTAATCAGCCTGCACCTGATGCTTGTGCCAGGTTCCTCTTTTAGTTGAAATATAGACACCATAGCTAATGCAAGCTGCTTGGCCCATAAAAGGGGTAAGAGAAAGGGAGAAGATTAGCAGTGACATTAGAGAAATAGAGCAAAACTAGCATCCCTTCAAGATCGCTAAAAAACGGCGCCATTGAACATCATCATTATCACCAGAACTTAGTAAGGGTGTCTCAGTCTTAGTGCAATTTTAAGCTATTAAAACTTAAATGAATGTTTTGTAAAGCACTTTACATTTATCTCATTTTATCTTCAGAAAAACCCTGTAAGGCAGGTGCTATTACTATCTCCATTTTACAGTTGAGGAAACTGAGGCCAAGGAAGGCTAAATGAATTGACCATGGTTGCACAGATAGTAACTATCAGAAGCAGGGTTCTAACTTAGGTCTTCCTAACTCCAAATACAGCACTCTATGCCCTGCACCATCTATTGGCAAGAATTAAGTTATAAGAGACTCAAAAAAATGGCACCATTATCATGTAATAGCTGAGATATATTCATTTAAACTCAACAAAACACAACCAAAATTCAAGATGTTGGAACGGGATTTAATAACAACCACAAGCATAGAGTGTTATTGCAGGAGCATCAGGGGAAGAGAATAGGGATAGAAAAGCTTCAGTGGAAAGAAACGTCACAGGGCATGGTGTCCAAGGGACTCATCTTTGGCTGGATGAGAAGAATGTTGGCAGACAATCTGTGCGGTCAGATCTCTCTGAGCCAGGAAGAGGATTTCTGTCAAAGAGCTGAGGAGACAGTACTGTAGTGAAAAGATCTCTCAAGGGCTCCTGCTTACCCTGAAACTTTAAGTAAAGAATATTTTGTCTCATTTCTATAGTAAAAGATCTTCAAATTGTTTTCTTCACAACCTTTCGAGATAGGTAACACAAGTATAATCTTCAATTTGCAGATAAGAAAACAGATTTAGAGGAATTAGACTTGCCCTGGTTACACAGTCAGTAAGTCAGAACCAGGATTTGAATTCAGATCTCCTGAGTCCAAGTCTGGTTTTCTTTCCACAGCTGCATTTACTACTTGGGAACTAGACTTCTCCCAATTGCCTGAAGAGACTTGCATCTAGTCTGAAAAGAAGGCAAGCTAAGATACACCCCACCCAAAAGTACATATATACTCACCCTCATGCACACACACACACACACACACACACACACACACACGAAAAATGAAATGTAAAAAAAGAAAAATTAATGCTTTGTTCCAGACTTGCAAGCCTACCGCCGTGAAGCGACTCCCTTACAAAGGGGAAGTGATTGTGTTGAAGGCCAACGGAAAAAAAGAAGTTTCAGCATCTGCAACCAGGAAATAGGGACATCGCCAAGGCTTTGCTTTAGCACTCTCAGGTAATGGATTGCTTGTAGTCAAACACTATGGGCCTGGGTGGTGATGCCAGAAAGGTGATCTGGGTATCATATGAATTTCATCTCTCCTTCACTCTTTGTAAGTTTGGAAAGAAAGTGGGCACCAGAACAGAAGCGAGGTGGTTTAAAGTAAGATAATATTTGTAAAAAGCTTCACAAGCCATGAAGCACTATGTCAGTCAGTGTTGGCTATTGTTATTATTGAAAATGATGAAAGATTGAATGATGGCAAGTTTAGGAAAATGATCTCTCATAAAATTTGGGTTAGTATCATTAGGTAAAAAGATGAACTCAGAGAAGCCTCCCTCTCTGAGATCTAGAATTCAATTCAATTCAACAAATCGATCTGCTATATGTTGAACACTGTGCTAATTGTTAAGAGATACAAAGATTTAACAAGTGAAATAGCCCTTACCTGCAAAGAGCTTACATTCCCTCAGGAGAGACAACTTGTATGTCTACAGCAGTATATATACTTTGGCCTTACTGTTTCAGGGCCAATGACATGTGCCAGTCCACTACTAACCATAAGTATATACAGAACAAATAACTAATAAAGGTTGTCTAGGGAGAGAGAGCACTATCTAACCATTGGGGAGATCAGGGAAGGCTTTGATGGGGCCTTTGTAAGCTTTATTAAGTGTCTACTATGTGCAAGGTATTGTGTTAGGTGCTGAGAGTACAGAGACAAAAAACAAAATTGGACTGAAGGAGATTACATTTTGCTGGAAGGGAATTGCTAAGGCTAGGGAGGGAGAATTGGCAAATGTGCAAAGTTTTTGGAGAATGTAGTATGGCCTGTTTTGTCTCTCATTCATCTTAGAATTTTCTTGAGTCTTTGAACAACCCTAGCTTGGCCTTTGTGTCTGTGACACAGAGTTGGGGCAAGGTCTTCTTCTAAGACTGTGGGGGTAGTGAGGTGGTGCAGTGCATAGAGCACTGTGCCTGGAGCCTTGAGTTTAAATCTGGCTTCCAACACTTAATTATGTGACCTTAGGCAAGTTACTTAACCTCAATTTGCCTCAATTTCCTCATCTGTAAAAGAATGAGGATAATAATTGTACTTCCCAAAGTAGTTGTGAAGATAAAATGAGTTAATATTGGTAAAGTGCTTAGCATGGTGCCTGGCACAGAGTAGGAGCTATATAAATGTTAATTTTTATTATTTTTATTATAAGAGAGAATGTGTAATTCAGAGGATTTCTCTCTTAATGATTTATAATTAATAACAATTAATAATTTCCCCTCTTGAAAGAGAAGAAAACAGCTATTCTTATCTCTCCTATTAATTTGCTTTGATTAACTTTCTCAATGATGGAAGGTGGGTGAAGCATTTTCTGTGTGAGGGAGCATGTTACTGTATATTTCTCTTCTTCTTTTCAAAGGTAAAAAAAGCCAAAGGAAAAGGACCCAGAACTCTGTCCCTCCAGCTCAGTCAGATGCCATGCACGGTTTTATCGAAAAGCACACCTGATATCACCACCCAAGGATAATTGTGATGAAAATTGTTTTCTCTCAGAAGTGAAATCTGCCCTATTGCAGGAATTTTACACAAAATCAAATTATAGGTATAAATGAAGATGATGATTTTGGAAATCTGTATGAAAACTAACCAGGAATCATTTAGAATAGTGTCATTACTTGTCTTGATTTTATGAATAGAAGTTATATCATATTCAGGATATATCTGCCATTAAAAACGTGCAATTCTCTCTGTTTATTGTAATTAATAAAATTTTGTAGATCCTCATAAGCTGTTCAAAGCATCATCTATCTGTAACAAGTTACATTTTTTCCCCTGATACTAGTGGGGCTAGAATTCAGCAGCATGATCTCTCGAATGTAGACTACTTTCTCCACAATTATAAAATAAATTTTCCTATACTTTCCATGGAATCAGACTGGTCTTAATCTTAAAATAATTCAAGAACCAATGAGAGGTAGAATGGCCTTATTGTCACAGATCTGGCCTTGGAGACAGGAAGACCTGAGTTCAGATCCTGCCTCTGTCAAATGAAAGCTGTGTAATCATTGGGCAAGTTATTTAACTTCTCAGTGCCAGGCAATTATCTAAACTATAAATTAACAGAAGAGTTGTCTATTTGTGTCTATTTGATTTTCCATTCTCTAAATTCCCTGTGCCGATGAAATCGCAGATCGAAGGGCAGAAAAAGAAAAAAAAATCAAGAAAATCAGGATCTGAAAAAATTTAAATTGATTCTGCAATGCTGAAATGTAGGCTTTAGTGATGCTTTCCTTCTTGCATTTCTTCATTTATCTATGTTATAATTCTCCTTTGAGTGCAGGTAGGAAAACAAAGAGACTTCCTGTCAGGAAGAGAACCCTCAAAAAGTCACAGAGATAAGATTATGTGCCCTCTTATTAAAAATATGTCCAATTCAATTCAAGAAATGATTATTGAGCATCTATTATATGTAAGGTGTGATGAATTTCACTTTCACCCAGTCACAATGGAAGTTTCTATTTAACCTCCATTGCTTGACATCAGGTGTTTGGAAGTCATCTGATTTACATATCTATTTCATGCTACCAGCATTATAAACAGAATCACTTTGCATAAATTACAAATTTAAAAAATCCTTTTTGGTTTAGTCAACCATGATAATTTTTTTCAATCAGGTTGATTGATTTTTGGTTGTTGTTCATCCTTTGTTCTCAAAGAGGACCAACGACATCATGAGGATGATGTCTTGACTTGCTCATGAATTGAATTTAAATGTACATGAATTGGATATGAGCGGGACAGAGCTATACAAAGTCATCAGCCTCACTGTGTCCTCCAGTCATCAAAGTCCAGTGGCAAGACAAAAGCCAAGATGACTGGCAATGGCAAGGATGCAGTGGCCGACCTTAACCTTTCTAAATGAAGGTCTTTCTCAGGTCTCAGGTTGTCTGAGACAATGCCATTCAACGACTAAAGACTAGGTAAGAATTGAGACAAAAGATGATCACAAAAATATTGCTATTTGCAATCATACTAAGCCATCCAAACCTAAACAATGAGCCATTATTGGCCATTCAATGAAAGCCAAACTGATTTGGATTTAAACTCAAAGTAGCTCCATTTGAAACATAATAAGCTTTTTTAAAGCCTGTTTTTTTTTTCCAGAGGTATATTTCAAGAAATCATAAAGGAAAACTTCATAGGACCAAAAGTAAATTGTCCAAGCTCTGAAAAAAAGTTAAAATTAAAAAATTCTAACCTCCAAACCCCCAAATATCTTACAAAATTCAAGCAACCAAAGATTATAATTCTATGGACAGAGCACTCACATATTGAGAGAGGAGCTTGAATTGGATTTGAGGTAGAGCTGTGCAAAATCATTAGCCTCATTCTCTCCTCCACTTTTTGGTTATCTTATTCAATTCAACTAACATTTGTGATAAATAGCCCAGAAGTTAGGGAACAGTAACATATTTACCATGCTAACCAAAGACTGCTCATATTTCCTGAGTAATATATATATATATATGTGTGTGTGTGTATATATATATATATATATATAAAGGCCACAACTTATTAATGTAGCTGTCTGGACTGGCCAGGAAGTTCTGCTAAATCCCTGGAGTGATGGCATATCTAATGCAGCTCCAGCTAGGTCTCCATTAGTGTGAACAATGAATCCCCTAAAATGGTCACATTACTTGAATTTGGACTCCTTGTTTCCATTCAGCTGGAACCAATTACCATATTTTATAAAATTATAACTTTGATTAGTGAAAATGTGAACACATAGAGCCACTTCCAGGGATTTGTTGTTCCCACTAACTGTGACCTGGTTGTACTTAACAAGTATGCACATCAAAGAAATATTGTTAATGAAATGGTAAATAACTTTTTAATTTATCATAATGTGTGTATGTCTATAATGAGATGGAGTCTGGTTTAGTGATAAAAAACTGGTCTCTGCAGCCAGGGTTTAAGCTCTGCTTGTATTCATGGACTGTGTGAGCCTGGGCCAAGCCATTTAATCTCTGAGCTCCCCCAGGAAACTTTCTAAGACTGTAAGTTATAGCATAGTTGTAGATCTGCATTGGTGGAGAGAGCTCCTCTCTATACCATTGAAATTCCAGATGGAGAAAAAAAAAGATTAAAAAAAAAGATTGCTAGCTTCTTTCAGGGTAAGTAGGAAAGGAAGGGTAGCTGAGTTGCAGGGGCAGAAAGGAAACAGACTTTCTCCTTCACCGGGACTACCTGAAGCCACCACATAAAACCTGGAAGAAGCTGGCCTTTCCCTATGTGGGGACCCTTAACTGTTCATGTGTTGTTGGTAATGCACAAAGGAGGAGGATGCAAAGTGAATTGTGGGAAAGCCTCGGCAGCAGTTATAGGAACCTGAGGCTCCTGGGTGATTTTCCCTTTTGTCTTGGCATGTCACGCATAATTGCCAGTTCTCTGGGAGAATTGGCTTAGAGCGTGAGTAATGCTTGTGTCTCTTAGGTTGTCTATTTGGGTTTTTGACTGTATTTATGCTACTCCAGAGTTCCTACCCTGATCCCATCATTAGGGAAGCTGGTCAGTGATACATAGTTCAGAAAAGACACACTCTCCAGCCTTGTGGCACTTATAGACCAGAAGTAGAATATGCACTTACACAATCAAAATGCAAAATAATACACAATAATGGAATAACAATTCCCCAGACTCCAGTATTTCCCCTCCTGTATGTGTCCTTTATATCATTGCCATCCTGCTTTCATCATGCAACTCCCCTGCTTAATAAAGATGTTTTTTCCTAAAACTTGACCTAGCTTTGGTCAGCTGATTATGCTCCAGGTAGTGATATGGGAGGAGGGACACAGTTTCCTCCCCAAGGCAGAACACCTGCAGCTACCTTGCCTCACTGAGGCTGCCCTCTCCCTGTGCTCCTCATGTCCTTATATGGCTCCTTTCTATTACTCCACGTTACCTCAAAACCCATATCATAGTAGGATATCAGAAATTAGAGCATCAGGGTGAAAAGGAGATTTAACAAAGGACGGGAATCAGTGGAAGATTAACAGTGCACTCAGCATTCACCATCCACTGCCCTTTTCATTCAATGGTAAATTCTTGCTTATTTATTATATGGAGGATAATAACACTCACCCTAACTTCCTCAAAAAATGATTGGAAGGAAAGATCCTGAGAATAATAGGAGGTTGATTAAAGGAGTTCCCAAATTAACTTGATGAGCTTGTGGGGTGATAAGGCCTAGGCTGGGACTTTTGATTGTATCTTCCCACAGAGGGCATGGACATGCCCTTTGGTGCTTTGTGGAGGACAGATTTCAGTAATTAGGCATAACTGGTTAGCTCAGGCTCTCCTGAGAGGAGCCATCCCTTTATGTTGTCTTATAAAAGGGTGTTTTCAGTCATAGACTCAGCCTTCTCTTTTATTCCCCCTTTTCAGAGGATAGAATAGAGCAAAACAAAGCTAAGAATAGAGCTGGGTACTGTAAGTGGGGAACATTGCTTGGGATGTGCTTGTCTTAGGGCACAAAGACATGGGGCCTCTATATGCTCTCACCCACATGAGCCAAGAGGAAAGTTCTAATCCTCAAATTCCCGATCCTAACCTTGGAGAGATAGCAGCATAACCTCTCAGTCTATGAGATGATGTATTAAATTCAAGGAATTTATTTTATCTTGATTTACCGTTGAAGATATAATAATAATAACTTGCATTTACATAGAGCCTACTATGTGCCATGCACTGCGCTAAACACTTCACAAATACCTTGTTTGATCCTCACAACAATCCTGAAAGGCAGGTGATATTATTATCCTTATTTTACAGATGAAGAAACTGAGGCAAACACAGGTTAAGTGACTTGCTAAAGGTCACACAACTCAAAAGTGTCTGAGGCCAAATTTTAACTCAAGTCTTCCTGACTCCAGATCTAGCACTCTGTCCACTGTGCCACCTAGCTGCCTTGATCTGAGGACCTTTTTAATCTGTATCTGTGGAGATCTAGACATAAATTTTATTTTGAGATTTTTCAGAGACAACTCTGGGTGGAGAGAATGCAAGTCCAAGAGAGAATAACAATTTGGAGGCATCCTAATGATTGAAATTGGTCCATGTAAATTTTTGTTGATCTGGGTCACTGGTAATATGAGCTTAGTATTTCATACCCTCAGCTAGTTCCCAAAGATCCATTGAATTCCTTTCCACAAACTGCAAGGACATTTACTGTCACTTATAAAACTGGGCAGCCTTTTTCTAGTAGCCTACATCTTTTATATCTTTTCTAACTACGTTGCTGGATGGAACTTTAAGATCATCTAATCTGACTCATTTGTTTGAGAGATATTTGAGAGAAGCTCAGGCCCAGAGTGATGACTTGCCTTGCTTAATATTAAGCTTCTTGAAGGCAGGAATCATTTCATTTTTGTTTTTGTATCTCCAGTGCCTAGCTTAGTACCTGGCATATAGTAGATATTTAATAAATGCTTATTGATTAATTTATTAATAGGGCATTAGACAGAGTAAGTACATGTGCATTCTAGTCTCAGCTCTGTGACTCTTAATAATATTAGCCCTAAACTCTTATCCTTGTGAGGCAACTGTCGCATACTGCCTTGTTCTTTGGTTGTTCTGTATTTATAATCCTCTCTGCTGAATTAAATGTTCCATCTAATATGTCAATCATCATTTACTATATTTCAGTATCGTAGATATAAGCAGGAGCAGGGTCTTGCAAGTATAGACATTGAATACATATTTGTTTGATGGATGAAAGGTCAAATGTTGTGATACTATGCAGGCAGATAGTTATTTCTTACAATATTGGTGATGAGTTTGGACATTAAAGAAATCTATCTTACAGTTATTATTCAGAAGAATAATTGAAGTTGACAGAGATGAGATTAGTCCTAACCAACC